TCACTGTAATGTGACAGTTTCCTCTGAACCCAGCCACAATCCTTATGCCTCCTTATGCCAGCGGCAGCTGCCATGCCAACTGCCTGGGAGTCCTGTGGTTGTGTCAGTGAATGGGACGGTGGTGCTGCGGGGTCAGGCAGATGGAGGGGGCTCAGGGTGACCTACATGAAGTAGAATGAAGAATCAGGTAGAGTTAGTCTATCTACCTCTGTGAAGATTATGGGTGTTGGGTAAAGATTGCAAACCATGTTCAGCGAAAAACCAGAAATGAATGCCCTGGACCTCCCTGGAGGCTGGCCAGGTCCTGGACCTGCATATCTAAATATAGAAGTTTAAAAATAGTGACAAGTGACCCACAGACATTTTGAGCAAGAGCTGCTAACAGACAGCCCAGGGCTAAAAGCTGCTTTGTTTTGCCAGTGTTTTTTCTGGGGTTTTGTTTCTTAGGGCAGTATTTACAGGCTAGAGAAGTCATGATCAGGTAGAGAATGAGACTTTGCGTTCCCCTGGAATGTCCTGTTTTAGTTCAAAACAGTCTCCACCTGCAGTTTCTGGTGCCAGGCAAGATTGTGAGAAGCATTTTAAGCTCTGACAAAACAGTAAGTAAATGTAGAAAAAAAAATTGAAAGGCTCTAAAATTGCTGGTAATGAGTTAGTGCAAAGAACAGAGCTGCATATAGCAGCCCAAGGGGAATAGAATAAAAGTGGAGCTGGAAGCCCCTCTGGGGTGGTATTAGTTGGAATTGTTTTTTTCACTTTCTGTTCCTTCTCAAAATTGCCAGAAGTACATTTGGTACCAGGATAAGAAATTCCTGTTCCTCCTTGCTGTTCTCACATGTCAGACGTTTGCGAAGGGATATTAGACTCCCCCGTCCCTGAGCAGTGATGTGGCTCTGCCAACACTTGAAGTCTCCACTGCCTAGCACTCTGCTGCCCCAATCATTTAAGTCTTCCCTGTGCTAGTTCTGTCATTTGTGTGACATTCGGAATACAGGGACAGAAGACCAGACATGATGGCGGGATTGATGATTTTGTTTGGCCGGGATGAGCAACTTAGATATTTAAGCAGATTCTTCTTAGGAAAAGGACCTGGATCTCATAACAAGCATATTTTTCCGCCTTGCATTTCTCCTTCCCAGTTGAAGAAAAAAAAAATCACTATTTTCCAAGTTTAAATTTGCTGCTTGTTCATATTCTTTAAGAACTCCATAACCAGCTATTTTTACACTGATTTTGTTATTTTTAGTTGTTAAAATCATTAAAGATTGACAAAGTACAGTCCTCCCCTCCCCCACAACGGTCCAGGCTGCAAACAAACCAGGCCTTTTCTCTTGAATGTCATCTTCTATTTATGCATGGCCTACTTTCAGCCTGCACTCCCCCTTTAGCCCCATGGTAATTTGTCAAGCTCCAGCTAATCTCCTTAATCCATTGGGCTGAAGGATTTAAGTTTAATGTTTTAATCTAGGGGCCCCAGTATTTAAGTAATTAGAGGTCTAGCTCTCTCCTTTAGATAAATTACCTTAGTTTGCTCTTTAATTCTAATTTATAAATAACAGAATTCTAAGAATTCAAAGTGGGCATAATTTTGAGTTTTGGGTTGAATGCCTGAATTAAGAGCATTCTGTGATACTTATGTTTCTTGCCCTCACTCTTAAAGAGTCTCAAGCCTGTGAATTTTCCTTAGAGTTCACTTTCATTTATTATTAATTTAATTATCCATTTGTATAGGATATGGTGTGCTAATTCAAAACCTGCAGGATATCTGAGTCATGTCAAATCAGTAGTTAGTATTTCCATTTCCTCTGATGTTTAAAAATATGATTAACATGTAGTAATTTTCTGCATATTTGTGAAATAGTATGACACTTCAATTCATCTTACAGTGTGTACTAATCAGATATGGCAATTCATTTTCATTTATTCTATGTTTGGAGGTTTTTAACATACTAAACACTTGCTGCTGTATTTTAGAAGTACTTTGCTGTTTTCCTGAATCCTGTTGTATACTTGGAATTCCTTAAGTCATTTCCACCATTTTTTCATTCATGCTGCCTGAGAACTGAGAGCTTTGGAAAAAATTATTCTCCTATCAGTTAATCTGGACATTCTTACAGAATGTCTCAAACATCTTTCCTGTCAAAACAATTTAATCACAGAAGGACTCTAGTTGTACATTCTACATTTCAGCTTTTCTCAGCAGACACTGAGAAACTGGATGGCTAAGAAAGAGCCTGTGTACCGTGAATGTATTACAACATGGCATAAAAGTAGAAAAACTAGACACTTGGAAAAATATTATCCTAAATAGGACAAACAAGGTCATCCCTTGACATGTGTACTCAGTGTGGCTGACCTCTGATGCCTTATGTCCACACACTCATGTCTTCTCACAGATCTGCACCTGCTGTCGAGACACCACCGCCCTGCTGTTCTGAGAGGCTTAGGCTAAAAGGATGGCTGCACAGGCCTCCTTCATAGGCCTTCTTTGGTGTGGGAACCCAGACCCCAGTGCATCCTCTTCCAGAATCCTTATCACTGGGTTCAGCACTGTAATTATGTTACTTCTACATTAGAAAGCTGACAGAGCTCCGCCTGCCTCTCTGTCTCCTGAATGATGACCAAAGCTGGGTGTCACTGCACCAGGCCCTGCACGCTCTCTTTCAAGAGTTGAATATTGAAGCACTCTAGGTATTGGTAAAAGTAATTTCCAGGCTAAAGATTTTAATAGAAAAAAAAAAAAGCGAAGGTAAGATAGAGTGAAAGGTCTTGTGATGATTGATAGCTAGCAAGACTTGGCTCCAGGACACAGAGGGAGAGGCACAACAGTACGGAGGGAGCAGTCAGGGAGACAGATGAGCATGCAGGGCTCAACGGGACTACAGAAATTCATTACTCACTTACTGGGGAATTTACAAGAGAACAGTACTTGGTAATAAAATTGGCTTGTATTGGATAATGTCTTGAATTTCTGTGAGACCCTGAACAAAGGTTTTAACCGTACTGTGGGTCAGTTTGCTCATCTGTGAAGACCCAAGAAGTTCTCAAGAAACACTCCGAGCACACACTCAGATGTAGCATCCATGAGATGGGGTTTGACTGGTTAAGACTGAGAGTTGATCTCAGCCTTAAGGAAAAAGTAGAGAGCTGATGAGGAGGCTCCCTCGATAGAGGTTCCTGTTGCCCAGAGGAACAGACAAACTGAATCCCAGAACACACATGCTGGAGAGAACCAATGCGGGAAAGTTACCCTCTAAATGCCCTACTCAAATAATTGTAAAGGCCTAAGTGAAAGAATGAGGAGGTGTTTGGAGTGGTGTTGAAACAAGACTGAGAACAGGGTATTGCTTCTTCTGCCAACACAGGATGGTATGTGCAGAAATCTCTTCAGCAAGCTCTGCTGTGGCTGGTCAGCTTCACCATCTGATCAGCTCCTCCTCGGCCCTCAAGCAAATGCTATTTTTTCAATGTTCTCAAATGCACTCACTGTTTGGGAACTGAGTCAAGAACTCAACATGATTCTTCAAAACCCTAAGGGAGAAGGCTTCTCCTTTTAGTTGCCATAAGGAGCCTTTAGACCTGCCTGTTAAGGGGCCCCAAAACAGGTTGGTGGTGGCAGCCTTTAATCACAGAGGCGAAGGCAGGTGGATCTCTAAGTTCGAGGTCACCCTTGTCTACAGAGTGAGTTCCAGGACAAGTAGGACTTCACAGAGAAACCTCATCTTAAAAAAAAAAAAAAACCAAGAGGGGTGGGGGAAGACAGGGTCTTACTATGTAGACCACAGTGACCTGAAACTCAGAGATCCACCTGTCTCTGCCTTGTAAGACTGACTGTGTGAGTCCACAGTGCCTGGCTTCCCTGCCGGCATTTCAAGCTTTATAAACGGGATTCGAGAAAACAGGTTAGCAGCATTAGTGCTTACAGGAAGCAGATGTAGTTATATTTTAATTTTAAAAATTATAAGTGACAGTATTTTGGTTACTTTGAAACACATACATAGTGGAGCAACTGTTCTGTATTGTTTGTGACACCCTTCTCAAAGGCAGGCAAAGTAGACCCACTAGTATAACCACTATAGTTGTTTTAAAGTTGTTTTAAGTAGTAAATAAAAGAAAATACTATAACAGATCCCCAGGCATAATGCTATACACCTTTAATGTTAGTGCTTGGGAGGCAGAGGCAGGCAGATCTCTGGGTTTGAGGTTAGCCAAGGCTAAGAGAGAGACCCTGTCTCAAAAAACACAAAACAAACCAAAAAATAAATTTTAAGTTGAAAAGCTCCTTATAATTTACAGGGACCAAGCCCCTCCCAAATAAGGGAAAAAAAAAAAAAAGATATCTGGGGCTAGCAAGATGGCTCAGAGTGAGGGCACTTGCCAGCAGAGCAAATGTTCAGTCCCTAAGACCCACATGGTACAGGCGAGGGCCCAACCAGCACAAGTGTCCAGGCACGTTCACACACTCAACATAATAAATAAAAGTGGTTAATTTTTTAAAGCCTGAAGCCATTCCCTTCATCATCTTAATACTTTGGTTTTACTTGCCTTAAGAAACCTTGAAAGGGATAAAGGAAGTATTGATCCCAATTTTTTGCACTTTTGTTTGCCTTTTCTTTCAGAGTGGTGAGGCCCCAGTAAGACGAAAGGGACAGCTCAAAACTTTCTGTTATCAGAAATGCTATGCACCCTGATGGGTCTCAGAACACACTGGGGTATACTCTAATCCTACTCAAGGTCTCCATGCTTTGCTACCTGACTCAGTGAGGGGTCTTTAAGCCAGTCTGAAAAAACTGCACGTTGAACAAGGAATCCTGCTGCAGCACTGAGGAGCTGAGGCAGGAGGATCTCAGACCTGAACAATGAGACAGGTGTCTTTAAAATGAGAAGGTTTGGATTCAGTATCTACTGTTAATCGTGCAAGATTTGAGCTCTTTGTGGATTGATAAAACTGTAAAGCCAAAGGAATATACCATGGCCCCACCCAGGAGCCAGACCTAACTCCCTCCTCCCATCCCCCAGAGGCCTGAATCTCAAAGCTCCTATAACTGGAAAGGTCCTAAGAGATTCCACTCACCTCCACCTCCTGCGAAGGCATCCTCAGTCTGGTGAGCTTGGCCTTGGCAGGCACTTTTACATCAGGTTTCTCGAAGCTCTGCTGGCCATAGTCTTCCAGTGGCGGCTTCAGCTCCGGGGACTCACTAGGAGCCTGATCCTGACCGTCCATGGGCCGGACATAAGCTGTGGGCTTCTGCTGCATTGCAACACTTTTTGAGGGGAGAGGAGGGGGTGGAAATGTCTGGGAAGGTGGCTGAGAAGGGGCTACCCCAAGGCTGGTAGCTGCCACCAAACTGTCATGAGGAGTCTCATTATCTTGGACCTTCCCCACCAGGTCCTTGGAAGACGTGGCTACATTGTAGCTTTTATTGCTAGTGCTACCACCGGGAACCTTGCTGCTTCCCTGCAGCCTGGAATGTACAGGTGACAGAGGGGGCACCGGGGATGGCAAAGAGGAGATTAAGGGTGAGAGCTTCATCTCCGGAGCTGAGTCACCATCAGCTCTGCGGTCACACTTTGTGTGGTTGGAACAGTGCCCCTCCTGACTGAGGCGATCTTGAGTCAGCCGCTGACTGTCGGGCGGGCCGTAGTTTTTGGCATGGAGACTTGGCACTGGTTCCATCCTTGGAGGTGCCATCTTTGGACTGTGGCTAATGTTACCAACAGAAAGTGGTCCAGGGACTGAAGATGTATGGATAGGCTGGTGGTAGACGTGGGTGCGGAAGGAGCTGGATGGGATGCTGCTCCCCCTGTCATGAAATAAAGGATATTTCGGCTTCCCTGGCCTGTCTTCAGAACCCTCCAGGCGCTTAGAGCAAGACTTGGTACTTAAGAACTCCTTCATCTCTTCGTAGTCGCCTAGCATGTTCTGTATCCGGCTGGACAGCTCATCGCCTTTTGCAGTCTGAAAAACAGAAAGACGGCAGACTCAGACTGTGGAAACACATCTAAGCAGAGCAATCACTTAATAAATTATTATGTAATATCGTTAAAAGAAAACCCTCTCTGCTTCATGTGTAATGCAACATTAACTATTTCCCCCCACTGAGAAGCCTGCCACGGATACACATTACTAATTACAGGAGACTAACATTACAAAAGAAAACCACACACTTTGGTAATTCTGACTAACAATGTTCAAAGAGTTTTCATATTTTGTTTTGTTTTCAAAAACAACCTCTGGGATAAGTTGTTTTCTCGGTTGTAACCGATGGTTGAACTCAGTTACAATGAATAACTTTTCCATCAAGTTTAATATTGTGATGGGTCAGCCTTGCTCCCTCTCACACATGGTAAATACCTTGTAGGGCTCTGCAAACAGAGGAGCCTTCTCAGCAAACACCTCTTTCTCTGCATGAGCTTCTTGGTTTCGTCTTTCCTTCTCTCTAATCCGAAGGAGGTTTCTATCTTCATTGTACAAGCTTTTCCAAGTGCCACAAAAAGAACAGAAAAAAAAAAAAAAAAAAAACTATCAGCATCCAAGTTTTGTTGTGCACACGGATGTAGAAGGAGCAAGAATAGGTCCAAGATACAGTGACAGGGATGTAACTATAGAAAGTGCACATGGGATTGCAGACATGGCACAGCAGTTAGGAGTGCATACTGCTCGTGCATGGGACCCGAGTTCCATTCCCAGCTCATAGTTCACAGCTGCAAAAAACCTAACACCTCTTCTGGCCTCTGTGGATACCTGTGTGTGCACATGTACCCATGCATGCATGTACACAACACACTTCAAAATAAAAGAGGAGGGAGGAGTAGGGGGTAAAGAGGGAGGAGAAGGGCATGAGTCCTACTGTGCCAGTAGCTCACAACAGTAATCCCACTACTGAGGAGGCAAACAGGATTGCCACAAGTTCAAGAACATCCTTGTCTACAGAGAATATTCAAAGTCAAAGGCTGATTTTCTAATTAAAAGATCACCAAATGCCCAAAACATCATTTATTTTACGCTCAGTCTACTCTGAGGGTATCTTAGCACATAAACTCAGAAAGATGATCTATACTTACTTCAAATGTCAAGGATGAACAATCCAATTATAGATGTCAGTTCTACATACTAAAAATGTCAAACCGTCCAATTTGAACCGAATTCTAAAAAGTACCCTACATCATTGGATGTGGTATCAAACTGGCTAAAATGAACTCGCTGACAGGGAAACCAGAGACAAATTCTGAAAGCAAGTTGATTTCAACTACATAAGCCCCAAACAGGCCTGCCCCACTGCCAGGCACACAGCCTGCACCCTTCAGCCCCTCCTCTGTGATCTACATTGAGTAATGGGAATAAAAGGACTATAATAAGACTGTCTTCTTGACCTGCTTCCAGGATCTGTTATGGGCTTCCAGACCAGTGCTATCTGAACAAAGGAAAACACTGATTGCCTTGGCTGTGTCTACCTATCCTTCCCAGTTCTAGCTGACTGTGTCTACCTGTCCTTCCCAGCTCTAGCTGACGTCAAAGACCTTCTCCACTGCTCTCTCATGCTTCCTTCCATTCCTCTCACAGGAACCTCCTGGTCTCTGGGCCTCCCCAGCTTACTCCTCTAACTCAGCCTTCCTTTATGACTGGGGTTAAGGGTCTAAGTCCCTCCCTGATTCTCATGTCACTGTCCATATCTAGAATGACAATCACTTGATGGCTCCTGATACTACAGAATGACCTCTAAATCTGTGCTTTGGCATTAGAATTCCCTGACAATCTGGTTTAAATGAACATGTGACAGGATCCCATGGTTGTCCTGCAGGCCATCCCCTCACTGCCCAAGTACACCTTGTAAGAGCCAGCCCTGGACTGACTTCTATACTGCCTGCCCTACAGGGACACTCACTCTACAAACCACACCAGTCATGGTGTGACCTGGGAGTTGATTTACTTCCATTCCAATTACAAATCTCTGCCCATCTCTCTCTCTACCTCCTGTGCCTCCCCCCAACCTTGACAACATACCCCCACCCCTAACTTTCCATTGCTGATAGATTCAGAATGCGGTGATTTAAATGTCACCCACTTTAAAGACGTCCCTCAAACCCACCTGCCCAACACTCTCTGGCCTCGGTGAGCTCCTACACACATGTGGTACACGTAAATTCATGTGGCCTCTCTTACACATAACATAAAAGTACAAGAATCTTTTTTTTAAACACCAACTTCAAAGATGACAGATACGAACTCATAGAGGCAAAGATCATTTTATGCTAGTTGGAAAACTAAAACACAGGAAAAATGAAAACATAAAGTACATTCTTTCCTAGTAGGAACGGGGTTGTCCCCAGGCTGGCAGAACTGTGTTTGGGGATGGGGAGATGAAGGGGGGGGGCCCCCTCTCTGGCCACGCCTGCAGCCCTCTTCTATTCTCACACTCTTGGCAACAGCAAGGGTTTCCCCCCCCCCTTCCCTTCTTTATTTTCGTTTGTTTTTTGAGACAGGGTCTCTCCAACACCCCTCCCCCTCGGCCCCTACCCCTGCCTCCCCAGTGCAAAGATTAAAGGTGTAAGCCTGGCTAGCACCATATTATAAGGCAATAGCAAAGACTTTGAATTTAACTCACTGTCACTCTTCAGCTGAAAAGTCTACAAGTAGTGAGTGAGGTGAGCAGAGATACCCATGACTGACTGTCAGGTGGATCCAAGTCCAGACTGGAAGACTCACCCACGCTGTCTGTGGTCGCTTTCTCCAAGGCTCCTGGACAAGGCAGAGGGCCAAGGAACTAGTTCACAGAGGTGTTCAGGGAGCCTGGGGACCTGTTCTGGGCCAACGTTTTTCCTTATGCCTCTAACAGCATTTGCCAATTCCACCAGGCAGGCTTCTGGTTTACTTCAGTGCTGAGTTGCTACAAATCTGCAGTAGCTTAAGGTGTCTTTTTTTTTTTTTTTAAGCACCCCGGGCAATATTTTTTCCCCCAGAAATATTATTTTCATAGTTCCTTTGAAATCAAGGATAAGGTGAATTTCAAAACAAAGAAAGCAGTGCCATCATCCATAGCATGACTGGGACCTTTGCAGATGGTTTCAAACCAAGTACAGAGCAAGGTGGGGAAAGATGGGAGGATTGCTATGTGCACAGACATGTGTACAGTGTGGGGGGCATACACATTACAGCACAGCTTTGGAGAGTTTGTTCATTCCACCTTCCTGCGAGTTCCAGGAACTAACTAACTCAACATTTCACTGGCAGTGCTGCCATTGGGCATTACCCTTTTCTTATTGTGACTGCAGCCTTTGGTATGTGTCTGTCCACACGCACAAACACGTGGAGACATGGAGACATGGCTTCTAAGGCACATGTGATGATCACGGGACTGCACTATGGCATTGTTTCTCTCCTTCCACTTTCATGTGAGTTCTAGGACTTGAGCTCAGGTTTCCAGGCTTGCTCAGCATTCACTCTACCTCCCAAGCCATTTCTCAGCCTGGAAGAGTGTGTGTGTGTGTGTGTGTGTGTGTGTGTGTATGTGCATGTGTGTATTACATATGTATTATTTGTGTATTAGGTATGTATTGTGTATGTGTATATATGTGTATATTTTGTATTATGTGTGTATGCCTGTATGTATGTGTTATTTATGCATGTACGTATGAATTATGTATGTACTGGGTATGCATACACGTATGTGTGTATTATGTATGCATGTATTGGGTATGTATTATGTATGTATGTACAGATTTTTCAAGACCTGGTTTTTCTGTGTATAGCCCAGGCTGTCCTGGAACTCACTTTGTAGATCAGGCTGGCCTCAAACCCACAGAGATCTGCCTGCCTCTGCCTCCTGAGTGCTGGGATTAAAGCTATGTGCCATCACCGCCCTGCACAGTCTGGAAGAATTTTTAAATGAGGGGATTTTTTTTTAGGCAGCAGTGAAGGTCTTCATGATTCTCACTCTGTAATTACCTTTGAATAATTACAAGTTAACTATGGCTTTAATTAAAGGCCACCACCTCCTCCCAGAAGAAGCCACACACCATTTTCATTCTGAGTAATATCACACTGATACCCAAACAGCCACAAGTCAGAAACCCTTGCTGGGTGATGGCCACAGCACTGTGCATTCCTGTCGTTGTCCTGTGAGCATCAGAGAAGAGTGAAGGCCTTTACAGGAGCAGCTTACAGAGGCCACAGCTCTTCAGGTGAGAGGAAGGGGCCCCGGAAGTAAGCTGTTAGTCGAGAACACCTGAGGGCTGATGAGAACAACAGTGGTAAGGACAGCAGCTGTGGCAGGGTCAGGGGCCTCAGTCAGCACTGTCCTGGCCACATCACCTTGCTCTTGCTCCCATTCCTATTTAGTCTTCAGTCAGACCTGTCATAATGGGATTTTTTAGGAGACCCATTTTTCAAGTGGAAAAACATAAGGCTCAAAGACTTTCTCATGACGCCCTGGAAATCCAAAAGCTTATGTTCTCAGCCTCAGATCTGCTAGCAAACCCACCTGGCTGTGTTAAAAAGGGTGCTGACGACAAAGGAGGTGTGCTAACTTATAATCACCTTAATTCCTTAGTTTCACAGAGGTGCACATCAGCCCAGCCATTATCCCTGCCAGGAGAACAACCTCGAAACCACAGAATACATGAGCAGTTCAACCAATAGCACAAAGACCTTACAGGAAGTCTCAGAGAGAGAGGGGCAAACAAGTACAGGTGCTCCTCATGTTCTAAAAACTGAGCTACAATACTTTAGATCCTTTTGTTAAATTTCACTGGTCCCATAATAACCTAGTAACCTCCGGACTCATGTTTCTCACATACTAAGAGACTCAAGTGGATTTATTTCACAGACTGGCTATATAAATAACTTTGCACCTAAGTGTCCATAATGTGCCCACAGCAGGGAGCTTCTACGATTCTTCTGGCTGGTGAGCCAAGCCATGTTCATGGGACCTCCACCCCAACCCAGTAATCCTCACCTAGAGGGAAAAATCATGAAGCTTAACTGGCTGCATAACAGACAAGCCCACAGGTTGATGTGTTACATACAACCTGGCCTGAGAACAGTTCACCCCACAAATCTGGGAGTTCTGCAGAACTGAAAGACATCCTGGGACAGGGACACTCTCTTCAGTAGCCACAATCAGGACACTCTCTGCAGTATGGTTCACAGGACACAGTGGAAAGACCTCTACAAGAATACAGTGAGCCACCCCCTCCAAGCTAGAGAGAGAAATGAAGGAAGCTGCAGGCCTCGGCCTCCGGTGCCCAGTGAGAGCGCTCACACGTGACGGACTTACACAGCTGAGTTCTCCCAGCTGAGGTAGATGGTAACCCAGATGTTCTCACTGACAGTTGGAATTTAAACTCTAACTTCGGGGTTTTTTTGGTTTTTTGTTGTTTTTTTTTTTTTTGAAAAAAGAAAAGAAAGAAAGAAAAGAAAAGAATCAGAATGATGATTTGGGGATCTAAATCGTGCCAGGGTGTGCTCACTTTCAGAGATTTGGTGACAATCCTGAGAAACTCAGC